CATCATAAACCCCTGTGATCACGGGTCCTTTGAGAACATGAGCCCTTTGAGAGCCCTTTGAGATCCTCCCAAATCAGCCACCATAACCATCTGAGCTGACCGCTCCCCCTCGAATTTATCTGGCTTCTCTCAAAAGCCAGAGTTCTGATTGGACGTTTTGTGGATTCCTTTCGAAGGCACCCTAATGAAGCTGAGACAAGTGTCTTACCGAGAGGACTTGTCTGCAGCTGTCCACGGACTGCGGAGCATATTCAACCACGTTTTGTTCGGATGGACCGCTCAGAGCAATACTTTCTGACTTAACCTTGTGAAGGAAGCAGTGCCTGCCTGGACCGTGCAGTTCATGCACGTGGCTGCTAAGCACGGGGGTTGGTGCCTCCGAAGAAAGGCCTGCCTACCGACTTCTGAAACACCAGCTATTAATCCTCCAGCAGCACAGAGCTCAACCCCGACACACGTGAGGCGCACATGGAGGGGGTGGAGGAAAGAAAGCACGGGTGTCTGTTGCAGGGGACAATTCCGAGGGCTGCTGGGTGGGGTTGTGCTGAATGAGCACCCAGGCAGACCTGTCCAATACACCTGGAATCAGACCTACTGAGGAATACAGTCGCGTGGGTAAGGAGCATGGATTTTGGAGCCACACAGCTCTGGACCAAGAGAGCACTAGCTCTATCGCCTTGAGCAAACAACGAGAGTTCTTTGAACGGCTGTTTGCTGTTCTCTGAAACGGTGATACAGCTCGTCCCTCGCCTGGCGCTGCTCCGAATTAAATGGGATTGGGGATACGAGTAAAGCTCTTGGTGCCTAGCAAAGAGTGAGCGCTCACTGAGAAGCAGCTATTGTTTTCAAGACAAAGCGTGCTGTAGAGACTGCTTGCCATTTTAAAGCGCCACTTTATTCACGTGCCAATCACTCCCATACAAAGGGGCCCTGCAGCCATTAAACCCGGCCAGGATCATCATCCCATACAAATGTCTCCTAACAAGGAGCGACCACATAGTTAAACGACCAGAAAGCAGCAGGGTGAGAATAAAAACCACACAGACTGAGAAGTCTCCGACACAACCCAGCCTTCTCAAAATAAATTTAATCCTGAGAAAAATGAAGAAGGCCAGGAGTAAGTCATCACACTGCTTTATCAATTACTAACACATGCTAAAAGTAGCAGCCTATCAAAGTGTTTCTTTAGAACGACACGGTTACAGAAGTGTTGAGCTTGGAGCCGTTGAGTCTCAGTTTTGGGTGATGTAAATGTGGCAATGCATACTACTGGGGATGGCTGGACAGCATGATTAATGTGATTCCAACACTCATTCGCTGCCATTGAGTCATTTATGACTCAAAGAGACTCTACAGGACAGAGTAGAACTGGCCCTGTGGAATTCCAAGACTGAAAATCACTAGGGGAGCAGAAAGCCTCATCTTTCTCCTGCAGAGCAGCTGGTGGCTTCAAACCGCTAACCCTGCTGTTAGTCACCCAGTGCATAACCCACTACACCACCAGGGCTCCATAACACAATTAGGATCCCTGAATTATAAACCTAAAAAATGTTGAATTGGAAATGTTGCTGTGTGTGTGTGTGTGTGTGTGTGTATTTTTTTTTACCACCACACACAAATAGCCTGTGATATATTCATTAAAAGTGAAATTATGGTGGCTCTTAAGTAGGAGTTTCTGAAAGGGTTGTTCCAATTCAAAACAGATATAGGCATAGTACGAGCAAGTCTCTTAGAAAAGGGATATGCCTACCCCCCTATCCCACCCCCAGCACAATGGCTCCCATGTAGCAAATGTAGCTGGGATGAGATACTGCAGGTTTGTCAGAGATCACCACACATGCTTTAGAAATGCGGATAAAAGCAAAAGACTTTTTAAAAATTCACATGAATTTTGGGTTAAGCATCTTCATATATCAATGAGAAATATGATTCTGGATTCTAGGCCAGCTCGTCCCCACATTGGCTCTGATTTAGGAACTGGAAGATACAGATGAAAAAAAAAAAAAAAGCCGAGGGGGAGGGAGGGGCGGGGAATGAGCAGCTGATAGCAAGGGCTCAGGTAGAAAGAAAATGTGAGAATGATGAGGGCAACAAATGTACAAATGTGCTTGACACAATGGATGGATGGATGGATTGTGGTAAGAGTTGTAAGTGCCCCCAATAAAATGATTTTAAAAGGAAAAAAAAAGTATCTGCAGCTGGCTGGAAGCTTCAAACAAAGAAATGGATGGTAGTCAGCTCAGCAGGAGTTTAGAGACCACAGAGTATAAAATCATTTGGCCTTGAGAAAGCATCTTTGGCATCCTTCTTGAGTGTAGGAAGTGCCTGCCAGCCAGTGAGCTCTGAGTAATGGAGATCATGCAATTAGGGCAGGCTGGATTCTGTAGACAAATTATGGAGGCTTTTATTGCCTGTCCTTTATAACTGAACCTCACCAACAGTGCTGAAGAAATCAAGCAACCACAGGCATTGTGACCTCGCTAGTGTGAGGCAGGGAAATCGTGAATGCGTATAGAGAGTCACAGTGGTTACGAGTGTGGAATGAGGGCACGGCTGTGTAGGAAGCAGTGTGTTTTTTCATGGGGATGGGACATTTGGCACAGGGCACTGGCCTTGGCTGCACACGACAACGTGGTTGAGCTCACTCAGTTGTATACTTAAAAAAATGGTGTAGCCGATACCAAGGGCTCAAGTAGAAAGAAAATGTTTTGAGACTGATGATGGCAACAAATGTACAAATGTGCCTGACACAATGGATGGATGTACGGATTGTGATAAGAGTTGTACAAGCCCCCAATAAAATGAATATTATATGTGTGTGTGTGTGTGTGTGTGTAATCTTGGTCAGGGGTCAACAAACTGTGATTCTCACACCACATGGGGCTCTTTGGTAGGTATGTGTGCTCTGAAGTAAAACTGAAAATGAAGCCACTGTGGTTTTATATCAAGGATATTATTCAGATCATGGTGATTTCATTTGTTTGTAAACGTAGATTTATGGCTTTTAAATAATTTTTAAATTGTGGGAGGGACAGGATTGGCTCTTTTGTCTCTAAGCTTTGTCAGCCCCTGTCACAGGTAAATCAAAGCACTTTCTTATTTTTAATAAAGAAAAAACAGAGAGAAAAACAGTTGTGTTGGCAAATATGGCGTCATCGACGTTTTTGCACTGGGAGCTGTTGAGTCTGTTTCCAGCTCACAGGGCACATCTGACAGCGTGGAACTGCCCGGGAGGGCTTTGCAGGAAGCCTGGCAGTGCTGCGGGGGAGGTGTTGGCCTGTGAACAGTAAGGTCAACAGTTCCAACCCAGCAGTGACTCCCAGGAGAAAGATGAGGCTGGATGTACCCATGAAGATTTGCAGTCTGGGAAACCCCATACAGAGACAAGTGAAGGGCATGTCCTTTGGACCCTGAGATCCCTGAACCGTGAACCTCCTTGATCCAAAAGATAGCTTTGCTATCTGAGGAGTGACAGAGATGGAGCAGCAGCAGAACCAGGAGCCGGAGCTTGTGAGAGTGGTGGACTTCCCAGGCCACAGTGCAAGCAAAGTGGAATACTTTGGGGCAGGAGGCCGCGTCTTGTGACCACCCAGAAGTGGAGCTGAGTGCCTCCAGATGGAGGCTTGCTGGAGTGTGGTGCCTCAGGACACTTAAATTGGGGAGCTGGGTTCTCTGGCCCTTGGAGCTAAAGCTGACTGCCTTGGAGCTGAGAGGTACAATCGAGTGGCATGTCCTCTGGGCATGTACCAGGAGCCAGAAGACCTTCATGACATGTCCTGGCTGAATGCCCTGTATCTTGAGTATTTCTCACCTGCACCGCTGCCTGTCAACTTCCTCAATAAACCCTTTAATCATGAACATGATTCAAGTTCTGTGTGAGAAGGCATGCTCAAACTCAGCAGCTGAAAAGGTCGAGGCTATTGTGTGAGATCTAACTCCTTCACTGACGTAATATCTGTGGACACCGGGGTACCCCTGAAATGCCGTGCTGGGATGAACCACTGAGGAAGCAAGGGACATACCTTCAGGGACTGCAGGGAGTCTGAGTTAGTATCACAGTAGAGGATGATGTTGTTGGCCATGCTGAAGCTTTCTCTCACGCCCAGATGGTAGAAGAGGGAGGGCTGCCGGAAGGCGTCGCTCATCTCCACCACAGCAATGTCTGGGAACAGAACAAAGGCCCCGAAGGATGACACCGATATCATGCCCGTGAGCACATTTTGGTTACAACGACTTAGCAGTCAGAGAGGAAATGATAGGGATTCTCCCTCTTCACTTATCGCTGCATGTTGAATTTGCATTTCTACCCGGATGTGGTTTTATGCCTATGTCCACAAACTTGTTTAAAAGAAAAGGAAGGGGGGCTATAGTTACTGGAAAAGAAGAGGAGTCTGCAATGGTGGGAAACAGGGGCTAATGTTGCTTGCCGTTTCACCTTTAAAACACAACAACAAAACTCACTGCCATCTAGGCAATGCTGACTCATAGTGACACCTCTGTGGGTTTTGGAGACTGTAACTGTTCACTGGACTAGACAGTCCAGTCTTTCTCCCTCGAAGCTGCTGGTGTTTTCGAACTGCCAACCATGAGGATCGCAACCCAACACATAACCACTACATCGCCAGGGCTCCTGGCTCACCATTAAAATGGGTTTAAAAGGGGGACAAAATCCATTGAGTCAATACCATCTCTTAGAGACCCTATATGAGAGGTAGAACTGCCCCCTGTGAGTTCCCAAGACTGTAACTTTATGGGAGTAGAAAGCCTCGTCTTTCTACAGAGAAGCGACTGACAGTTTTTAACTACTAACCTTTTAGATCACAGCCAAAGGTGTAACCACTCTACCCCCAGAGTACCCCCTAAGAAAGATTACGTAGGTTTCAATTTCTAAAAGGTCTAAAGGGCAGATCCACAGGAAATACCACGAAGTGATTAATATAAAATGAGGTTTTTAAAAGGGTTAGTTTGCGAAATCACCTAGATTGTTGCTAGATGAACAAATAATTAGCAAGTGCCTACGGAGCATTGGTAGTGCAACAGTTAAGTGCTCGGCTGTGATCCAAAAGGTTGGCAGTTCAAACCCACCCAGAGGCTCCAAGGGAGAAAGCCCTGGTGATGTGTTCCCATAGAGACCACATGCTAGAAAATGCTATGGGACAGCTCTACCTGTCACATGGCAGAACTGAGTCAAAACAAACTGGCTGGTACCTAACAATAGGAATGGCAAGCCCCTGGAAAAAGGTGGAAAGGAAGCCAAAGTCTAGAAAAAGATGATGACAAAGAGGAATATAACATAGAAACACAATCCGTGAAAGTTCAAAGACGACGAGTATCCAGGTAATATAAATCAGATCATCGAAATTTAAGTGTTGTCACAAAATGAAATCGAGATTCATCTCAAACTCATTTATGAGCAAAAACTAACAAAAATTATCAAGCATTATACTGTAAGAATATGAGATCAGGGGTTTAAAACTTATTTGGGGAATGTAGGAATAACTTGATAAAAAAAAGATATACTAAAATACATTATAAGAACACACAGCCATGGGTTTAAAGCTTATTCGATGGAAAAATCCGTAGGATCACAAGAGATGTCCCATATGTATTATATAAAAACTTAAACCCATTTCCATTTCAAAATAATTGCAAACTAAAACTAGACGGATCCTTCTTACTATGACAAATAATATATATGTCATAGCAACTGCCAAGTTTATGCTTATTCACAGGAAAACCAGAAATAAGACCAGGCTGTCGACTATTCCCACTAGAAACTGGCTTCCTAAAAGTCGCAGCAAGTGAAAATTTAAAAGAAACAAAACAAAACAGGACAAAAACTCCACTATTTTAAAGTTAGAGAAAACATTTTAAAATAGAATATATGATGATTTTCAGTTGTAGATATTATTGTCATGAACCAAAAAAAAAAAAACAAAACCCAATAGAATACGCTGAATAACAATTCATGACACTAACAGGATATTTTAAGATGTCAGGATGAAAAATTATTCTGGAAACCAAAATCATCCTTTATAATTTCAATAGCATTTATAAAATGTAGTGGTAAAAAATTTTTATAAGACCCTACTTAAAATTACAAAGAAATTTGTAACAAAATGAGCAGAGGATACTAGCTTGTTAAATATGTCCTATGTAGGATAATAATTCTCTAAATCACTTCTTGGTCAATTAGAATAAGCTGTCAACCATAAAAACATTTCAATAGAAAAGAGGCTATCGATATAAACTGAAAATCTGCAAAAGTATAAATAAAATGATTAACAAATGCAAACTAAGAATATATAAAACATGAAAAATATTCTACCCCTCACTACTAATAAATGCACATTATATCAATTATCAAGTAGCAGTTTTCTTTTGCCTACCAACAGAACCCAATAAATGACAACCCAGAGAGATGCCATTTGACTCCACTCGGATGGCTACAATGATAAAAACACAAAATAACAAATATTGTCTAGGATGAGGGGGATTAGAACATTTATTCATTGCCAGGGGCAATGGCAATGGTACAGCGGGAATGCAAAATGGTACAGTGTTGTGAAAAACAGTGTGGTGGGGCCTCAAACTAAAAACAGAACTACTACATGACCCAGGCATTCCATTATTAGGCAGCTAGCCAGGAACACAAACAGATCCTTGCACACTGATGTTCAATGTCACACTATCCCCAATCGCCCGGAAGTAGAAACAACCTAAATGCCCATCGACAGATAACTGGATAAGCAAAATGTGGAACATACACAAAACAGAATGCTACTGAGTAAGTGAAATGAAGACTTAATTCACGCTACAATATGGATGGAGCTTGAAGAGAGTACAGTACGATGATTCAACCACACAAGGACAAATACCTATAATTTCACTCATAAAATGACAAGAGCACACAAATTTATTGACACCAGAGTTCCTCAGTGGCTATCAGAGGTGGCCATAATTTAGTCCGAAGGGACCTTGATCGCCGGTCCATTCCGCAAAATGTCACACGAGTCCATATTAATGACATTATACTGATTGGACCCACTAAGGAGGATGTATCAAAGGCTCTAGATTCATTGGTACAACATCTGCGCACAAGAGGCTAGGAAATTAACCCAAAGAAGATTCAGGCACCCTCCACCTCAATAAAATTTCTAGGGGTCCAGTGGTGTGGAGCATGTTAGGATATTCCTACTAAAGTGAAGGATAAGCTATTGCATTTGGAGCCCCCAACGACTAAAAAAGAGGCACAACGCCTAGTGGGCCTCTTTGGATTTTGGAGGTAACATATTCCTCACTTGGGTGTTCTACTTCGACCTATTTATCAAGTGACACGGAAAGCCTCCAATTCTGAGTGGGCCCCAGAACAAGAAAAGGCTCAACAGGTTCAGGCTGCCGGGCAAGCTGCTTTGCCACTGGGACCATATGATCCAACTGACCCGATGGTGCTAGAAGTGTCAGTGGTAGATAAAGGTGCAGTGTGGAGTCTTTGGCAGACCCCTATTGGTGAATCAGAGCGTAGACCATTGGGATTTTGTAGTAAAGTC